GGCTCCCCTGGAGGAGGGGGGGGGGGTGTGGGCTTTTTTTTTTAGGGGTACCAAGAAAGGGGGGTTTTTCTAGTGAGTTTTTTTTTGGAGGGTTTCTAGGGCTTTTGAAGGGTTTTGGGGTTTCGGGGTTTTCGGACTCCCAGCTCCGGAGGATCCTTTGAAGGACTTTGTGGTGACGCCCTCCATGGCCTCCATGGTGAAGTGGGTTTACATCGTCTTCTTCCTGAGCGGCTTCCAAATCTGCCTTGGGGTGTACACGATCCACCTGACCATCGAGGGCAACATGGGCTAATGCAGGGGTCGAGACACTTCATAGTACTATTCCCTCATAGTCCCCATTGTGGTCTAGTATCCCCTCTAAGGCTTGTTTTATTTGTTAAGGCAACATGGGCTACCCCAACTGGCTGACGCAGCACATCACCTACACTGTGGCACGCACCTGGCACACGCAGTCTGCAGTCTTCGCGATTGCCACCAGCTTCCTCGCAGCAGGCTTGTTCCTTGCGCCGGCAATTGGTGGCCGAAAAGAGGATCCTCCGCTGCGGCTGGGCTATAAAGACTCTTCTCCGTAGCCTTGCCAAGACATCGTAGTCGCGACTCTGCTTGTGGCTTCAGGGAACTTGATAAGCAGGGATCTAAGGCATGCCAGAACGGGTAGAAGAAACCAACAACTCCACAGGGGTTAGGAAACCACATGGCAGAGCCGAAGTGTGGCTAAGAATACGGCTCTATAGGTGACCAGATTGGCTTGACTACCTACTAAATCGCTTCCGATATCCTGTATTTTTGACTACCTACTAACGCGTTTCCGATATCCTGTATTCGTCGTAGGAACAGTATCAGAAGCCCCTGGATTCGCAATAGTTGCAGTCTACCTGCGTTCGCAGTGGCAGTCATACTGGGCGCCAGCTCTAGGCGTAACACCGAAACAGGGCCACAAGCGAGGACGTGCAACTTGGGTTTACCATGTCGTCTATAGTGTAGCAATATCCGGCTGTCGGGGGTGCTCAGCCTTGATGCAGGCAGAAGCCGCTCTGCAATTTCCTCTTCTTGTGCTTGCTCGTGATCGTTGGGGGCTCCATGGCAGGGCAGGTGGCAGCCATCACACAGAGTTTCGAAAGCCTCCTTATGAGCCAATGGTTCGGCCATCAGGGCTACGAGTACGTGGAGCTGGGCCGTTTTTACCAATACTTCCTTCTGGTGGGCTTGCTTTTGTGGTTGCTGCTTATGGTGAATGCCATCCATCCGGCCCTGCGTGTTTCCAGCTTCTCCTCCCAAGATGCCCGAGGCAAGTGGCACCTCGTTGTCACCATCACATGCGCAGCCGTGCTCATCTCCTTCTTTTGGGCCTCGGGCTTGATGTACAATGCCCGCTCCAACCTAGCAGTCATGGACTACTGGCGGTTTTGGATCGTCCACATGTGGGTGGAGGGCATCTTCGAGGTCTTCATCACCGTGGTTGTCGCCCAGGTCTTTGTGATGCTCGGTGTCCTTGACCCATCGGCGGCCGCCGGTGTCACGCTCTTCACCAGTGGCACCTTCCTTTTCGGAGGCATCCCCGGCATGTACCACCACAACTACTTTGCGGGTACCCCGTCCATGATCATGGCCGTTGGTGCTTGCTTCTCCTGCCTGGAGGTCTGCCCTTTGGCGCTCATGGGCATGGAGGCCAGTGAGTACATCGCCCTGGAGAAGGCGGCGAAGAGGCCCGAAAGCTCCTGGCTCATGAAGTATAAGCCCATCATCGACTGCTTCATCTATGTGGCTTTCTGGAACTTGGTGGGTGCGGGCTTCCTGGGCTTCATCATCAACCCTCCGATCTCACAGTACTACATGATCGGCGGATACCTCACTCTTTCCCACAGCCACGGTGCGCTCTGGGGCGTCTATGGCGTCCTGGCAATAGCCCTTAGCTTGCTTGTGCTTCGCCTGTCGGACATCAAAGCCCAGTGGGACACCAGGTGGGCGTGGTTCTTCACCCACGTTAATCAAGTTTCCGGTAGAAGCCTGGATATAAAAGCCTTAAAAGTTGCTAATCCTGGTAGTCTTCCTCTTGAGGGCACCTTACGATACTTCTAAAACAGTAGAACCCAAGACCCTAGTCGAATTTATTGAGTCCCTGATACTAGAAGAGCTTGCAGGTGGCTGGATCGGGGACTGAAGTTCATGAACGTGGGCATGATGCTTCAGATCTTCTTGTCCATCTTCCCTGTTGGCATCTATCAGTTCTGGCTCTCCGTGAACAACGACCGAAACCCCTAGTATAGGGGCCCACCCTAAAACACCCCATGGCCTAAACCCTAAACCCTGAACCCTGAAACCCTAGACCTTATTCCCCTGAGGATTACTGGTATGCCCGCAGCGAGAATTTTCATGGAGATTCGACCGTTCAGTGGATGAAGCTGGCGCGAAGACCTTTGGTTTCCAAAACAACACGCTGTAAACCCTAAACCCAAACCCTGAAGCACATGCACCAAACCCCACACTCTGCAGCTTAAAGCGTGGGACAGCATCCTCCACCCATAAATTCTCACCGCCGAGACGCTCAGCCCAACCCTAAGCCCCCGCAGCGCCCTGGAAGACCTCATCCCACAAAGACCTCAAACCCCAAAGCCTGAGCAGGGTCGTGCAGCCTCCGAGGTTTGGGTGACGCGATCTTCGCTTTCGCGATGCTCATGGTGCTGTGGTTCGTGTGGAAGGACGGTTTAGGGCTTGTGTACGGCTCAGGTGCGGTACATGGTTCAGGACACAAGACAAGTTCAGGCCAATGATTACTGAAGCGTGCTTTATGGTGACATATTTGCATATGCAGCGTATGTAGATACATGCATGCATAGGTCGTGTACGCTGTGCCATGTCATGTTAGGCTGTGTCAGGTTAGCCTAGGCTATGCTACGTCCTGTCATGCTGTGTTCTGTTGTCATAAAACATGCTATGTTATGCCAGGCATAAGCCAGGCTAGGCTAGGCCAGGCTATGTGTTGTGTGGTGTTCTGTTATGTTATGCTACTCTATGTCTTTTTATATATATATATATACACATACGTATACATATATATATATATATACACACATACATACAGCGATGAATGCATGGATGCATTCATGAATGAAGGGATGAGTCTATGTAGGTATGCATGCATGTGTGCGTGCATGCATGTGAGCCTTCAGGACTTCCTGCGCCGTGCCTTCGGAGTACGCAGTGCGTCTGCTGGGGAGCCACTCCTCAAGTGAGCACAAACGTCGGAGGCTCTTGGGCATCGAACAGGCTCCTCCTGTAGCTCTGAGTGAGCTCTGCAGGATTTACGTGCCGATGCCACGTAGGAGTTGTGTGGCCAGTCGCTCTTCGCACTAGTGTAAGCCAACTATCTCCGCAGACAGGAGTCGACAGCAGGACGAAGCGTGCTATATACACCGGCTGCACCATGTCTGGTACTCCCGACAAGAGACATGCTTAAGTTGCTCATGACAAACAGAGTTGCACAGGAGTTTTCGGTGGGACTGTGTATGTATACATACCTGAAACTGGTTAGAAGTTGCTTAATTGGCTCCTGTGTAAGCTACCTTTCCAGGGCGTTACAGTTTGTTTTGCCATCGCTCCGCGTGTGACAGTGTGACAACATGCCTTGCAATCCTGACCGCATGAACCGACGCCGGGTAAGACACGAGTTCCAGGGTTCAGTGCAGCTACACTTCATATCACCTGTTGTAAGCCGATGGCGCTAGTGACTGCAAAGGGAGACGACGAAGATGGCACACAGCTATCAACCAACGCCAAACTTTCAATTCATAAACTCTAAATTGGCGCACCAGTTTCCTGTTGATACACATGAAGAAGTTAAACGAGTCAGCATTTGTCCTGTGCGCAACGAGTGGGCTACGAAGAAAGCTCTGGATAAGTTGGGTTTTATGAGGAGGAGACTAGTAATTGCTGGAGACCTTACTTCATGTGACATGTTGGGAATTTCTTTTGAAGAGAGTAGTACTAGTGGCAAAAGAGCTGACAGGCATCAGAAGGACTTAGCAGGCGACACGTCGCTCAACAAAAATGTGAGCGGGTCACCGGGCCGGGTCCAGTAATTAAAAAAAGCACAGCTGACTTACAGGACCTCACAAAGTGGGTCAGTGGAAGCGCCCAAAGTGGTCAGGGGGGACCTCGGCCTGAGTTTTGGGATGCTTCGGAGTATAGGCTTTATGGACTTTGTTGCTACCGCAGCCTCCTCGTAGAGTCGAGAAGCTGAGCGCTGCGGCAGAAAACAGGGGAGCCAGGGCAGATGGGTCTGAGCAAGCAAAAGATAGATCCATGTGTGAGGCGAGGTGAAATTTCGATGAAGTTTTAGTTGTAGCAGAGCTTCTCAACTCGACCGGTGCAGAATGCAGACAACCACGTACTACCTCGCTCCTTACATCCTCAGCCTCAAAACACAGTGCCCAGAGGCGAAGCCCTGAAAGCTCGAGAAATCTTGAGCCAAAACCCTCAGTCGTGAACCCGAAGCTCCGGACATGAAAGCAACGTACGTCCCGAAGCCCGGAACCCTGGACCGCCAACTCCTAAGCTACGCTCTTCTATAGGCGCGGGGTGGCTTCCATGCCTGCCTATGCCCACAAAGACCTGGCCACTGTAGCGTGGGAATCAGTAGTGATCCTGCTCTCCTGTCCGGTTTACGGCCTACATGGAGGCTTGGTCTAGGGTTTCGGAGCGGTTGGCCGTGAGATGAAAGCGGCTTCTCAGGGGCAACTCAGACTCAGCCTTCCCTTGGATGTGTAAATGATTATTCATGGGGCGTGTAGCAATGCTATGATTGTGTGTGGGCGGCGTCCCTGAGTGTTGGGCATGCGGTCTCTTCGATTACTGCCCAGAGGTTGTCACTGCTGTGGCTTGTCACATTTCTCACTCCTACTGTCCTGCTTGCTGGTGCCGTCAGTACCGGTATCTGTGGTCTTTATTCTTCAGCAGGCTCCATGGTGGATGGTGCCAATGTTCATGAAACTGCTCGTAGCCATGATGCGGGCCACCATGATAGTGAAGACGACAGGGACAATGTTTTAGTTAGTTGATTCCGATGATGATGACGGCAATGGTGATGGCGGCAATGGTAGTGATGACGATCATGATGATGGCGGTCATACTGATAGGCTTCACGACGATAGAGGTGACAAATATGGACGGTTCTGATGATGATGTCGATGATGATGATGACAATGATGATGATGATCATGATGATGACGATGATGGTGATGGTGATGACGACGGTGTAGACATTGATGGTGACCATGCATGTGAAGCTGATGAAACTACGTATGTGGTGGTGGTCATCATCATGATGATGATGATGATGCAGAGCTGAAGCATCCTCTTTACCTTGACGAGGACCATGGCAACCTGCGACGGGAATGGTGGGGATGATGGCTGTGCTTCTGATGACCGTGATACGGATTAACATGATAGTGCTGATGCTTCCACTGCTGCTGCCGCTACTGCCGCCGCCGCCGCTGCGGCTGCTGCTGCTGCCGCTGGTGATGGTGACCAGATTGAACTTCCTCTGCCGCACTTTCATAGCAAGTTCTGCTTGCTTGTACGTCCTCTAATGACCGGCTTCAAGTAAGTTCTGACCATGGGTCAAGCTATTCTCAGTCCATCCTTCTTATCATGGCTGTGGCATAGACTGACAACTCACGTCGCAGGGTTGGAAACAGGAGCATTTATTAGCAGCCCTAGAACAATCAACGCAGTATTAGTAGGACGATTAAACATCCGAGTTTGTTCCGGTTAATTCTCAGAGCCATGGGGGATCGCAGCTGCGGCTCCAGCATCCTTCGCTGCTGCGTGGCGAAGCCCATGCTCCGTTCTTTGCAGCCGCAGACTTGGAAGCTCGGTTACCGCACTTCGCAGGTTTACTGGGAAGAGTTTCAGACCCGGGAGGAGGCAGAGGGTCGCTACCAGGAGCTCTGGTGGTCCAAAGTGCTGATGAACCCGGAAGGCGACGTGCTGCGGTGCTCAAGCGGCATTTTAGATCCGAAAGGCGTCGGCGTGGCGGCGCTGCTTCTGTCCGCAAGACGGGGCTTTGGCGATGTGGAGTCCTCGCTTCCTGCCTTGGAGAAGGGAGATGTGGCTTTCATCCCGGCCGATCGGTTGCCAGGTACTTCCCAGGCATTGCAGCTCATCTGGGACAGAGTTGCCTCAAGGAGCTCCATCAGCTGGTTCGGTTCTCGCGTTTCGGTGGATTCCCTCTGCTACTTCGACGTCGCGAAGCATCCCGGGGTCCGGGGCTACGTGGCGCTGACCATTGATGATGCTCCATGTCGGCTGGGCCCCAAGAACTCCATGCTGCCTGAGATCCGAAAGCTTCTCAAAGAGCACCAGGCAAAGGCCACCTTCATGCTCCTGGGGAAGTTCGTTCCGCAGCATGAGGAGGGGCTGCTCGAGCTTCTGCGCGAGGGACACGAGCTGGGGAACCATGGCCTCGTGGACAAGAGCTACCGGGCCTCATCTCCCAAAGAGTTTGAGGATGCTGTGGAGGAGTGCACCAGGCGGATCACCGACTTGCACCGTCGTGCTGGCGTTTCTTCGGCGTTCCCTTGGTTCCGGCCTCCCCATGGGCAGTTGAGTGCTGTTATGGCCAAGATCGTGGAGCAGAAGGCTTTGAGAATTCTTATGTGCGATACCTATGCATGTTGCCCGGTAATTCAGGACGGTGATTTCATCGGCCGCTTCCTTGGAAAGCAGGCCGAGCATGGCTCCATCATGTTGATCCACATGCCAGAGCATGGCTTCCGAGAGTGGTGTCTGCTCGGCCTTCAGACGCTCCTCAAGCATCTGAAGGAGCGCAACATGAAGGTGGTCACTGCTGGGAAGCTGGCAGAGCTCGCTGGATGGAGTCCGGAGCTTGTGGGCCGCCGGTGCAAGCTCGCATTGTAAACTACAATTTTTCTTCGTTTTGTGGCCTTCTTTCGTACATCTCCCAAAGGGAGATGCGACTCAGCGACAGTCGGGCATGATGTCGTGACTTCGTTGCCGCTCAAGGCGTCGTGACAAATGCCGCTGCCTCTCGGTTTGCCTTCTGAGGGAGGAGGGGGGGAAATGAGATCTCCTCGCGGGTGTGATGCTCTACAGCCAGAACCGGGGTGTCAGAGATTCAGGCAAAACGGAGAGGAGGCCCTGCCAATGCAGAGCCATGCGCGCAAGTTTGACACGAACCCTTGATGACCTGACATCCACTGCCCCTGAGTAATTCTGAGCCCCAGACCCCAAACCGAAGCATCCGGAACCAAAGCATCCCTGCACTCCGAATCCTGCACGGCCCAGGCCGTAAGGGCAAAATTCTCAGCCCAATAACCCGAAAGCCTCTCATACCGCAAACCTAAGCCCCCTAGGAACCAAGGAGAAATTCACGCGGACCCTACATCGAAGCCCGCTGGCAGGTCTCTGCGACTCCCAGCGGAGCAAGAGCTGCTCGGGGAGCACTGAAGCTCCGACACATGCCAACGGATCGCAAGAAACACCTTGCGTCGTAGTATTGCGATGATTAGTGTTACGTCATTGCTAAGGTTATAGACTATTGTTACAATAGTGTTACTATTATTACTGTATTTGTTTGTTATGGTTGTTAGTATTCTTATCATTTTCGTTCTTGTGGCTAACTATTACCATCCCTTTTGGAGGGTAACCTGTACCTCAATGTTTACATTCGGGGAGCTCAAGGTAAATTAGGGGTTCTCCTTTCTGCGCATTGCCGGCTGCTTTCGCGACAAAGACGATTTCGTTGCACAGCGCACCCCTTCAAAAAGGGACTGTAGCAATAACAATGGTAGCAATAAGAGTCGTAAGAGTCGTAATACCTGTAATCAGATCAATCCCAGCCCATCGAGCCCGAAGCCCCGCCCCGCCCGCTGCAGCTGTTTTCCAAGCACAAGGGGCTCGTTCCATTTTCGTGGCGCAACTCACTGCACCAAGACAGCGCCCGCGGCTGAGAGCTCGCTGTAGTTCACCCTGCGGAGACTGTCCTTTGAAACCCTAAACCCCAAACCCCAAACCCTAAACCCCAAACCCCAAACCCTAAAACCCTAAAGAATATGGACCAAGCTGAGAGCGAAGACCTGGGTTTCGGCTTTAGGGTTAAGGGTTCTGTAAGGGCTCTCTAATTAGCTCTACTACCAAGGCTCTGAGAAGGGTTTAGGGTTCAGGGTTCTCTAAGGGCTCTATTGTCTATGTAGCTCTACTACAAAGGCTCTAAAAAGGGTTGCTATAAGGAGCCATTCCGTTTCGGCTCTGGGGCCCAGCGCCGTTCAGGGTAGTGAAACACGGCAGCAACAGGAGTAAGAATAAGAAGCGCACATTGCGCATCATGGTGTATTATGTTCTTATGCTATAACATAATAGAACATAATACTGTATCATGTATTGTGTTACAGTCTATTCTGTTTTATTCTATCCTATCCTGTCCTGCTCTATTCTATTTTGTTCTATCCTATCCTATTGTATTCTATTTTATCCTACCCTATCCTATTCTGTGCTATTCTGTTCAGTTCTATTCGATCATATTACATCTTCACATTAAGCAGCAGTAAGCGTAAGCGAGTACATTCTTCTCATCATTAGCAAGAGTACTGAATGATGCGCATGCAACTTCACAGTACCCGTTAAAAAGTGGCTCCGAGGAGATCCCGCAGGGAGCGACGCCGCTAAAGACAAGCTTGGTAGAGCCTTCAACCCTAAACCTTAAAGCTTACAAGCCCTAAACCCTAAAAGCCTGAACCCTAAACCCTACCTTTGTCCGAGGATGTCCGCGCCGAAGGCCACTCCGCCAGCCCAGGCACCCACCGTGGTGCCCGTCGCCAAGGTCCGGCCTCACCTGAGTAGGGCTTTATATATCGTTCAGCGCTGCCAGGCCCTCCCATCCAATTGGGGTTCCATGTGGGTTGGGTTCCCTGCCTGGGGGGGCCACTGGCACGGCGACGCGGGACCATGTAGAGGGCTCAGGGTTTAGGGTCTTAGTCATAGGGTTTGGAGTTTGCCGGATTTTGGGTGTTACAGATTTCGGGCTTAGGATTCAAGGTGTTCATCCTGGTAGCTCCAGACGCTAAGGCTCAATTCATGAACTACAAGCCTTAGACACAAAGCTCGCAGCTGGAGCACTGAACTTTGTCCGAAGCCGTCAGACATGGAACCCCTTAAGGCTTTAAGGGCCCCTTTAAGAGATCCTTTAAGCTTTTCTTTAGGGGTTCCCTTAAGGGAACTGCGGTGGGCCAAGTCGACGATGGAGGGTGCCATATATATAGCTTTACACTTTCGAGGTTCTGTTGCCGACCCCAAACCCTAAACCCCAAACCCCAAACCCTAAACCCTATAAACCCTAAACCCCAAACCCCAAGGAGCCCTTTTGAAAAGGCGGGGGCCCTGAGCTCACAAGTTTCCCGGAGAGCCCAATACCCCTCAATGAGGGAATATACCTTAAATCATAATATTACGGCCCCTATAATTTACGGTATAATTCCTTAATTCTTATAGCACCCTTAAAGAAACCCTTATAGATCCCTTTAAAGCCCCTGTAGTTGAAGGCATTATGTTTCCCTTATTTGAGGGGTATTGGGCGAACCCTAAACCCCAAACCCTAAACCCCAAACTCTAAACCCTAAACCTTTGAGGAGCCCTATAATTTAATTCCTTAATAGAGCCCTTATAGAGACCCTTATAGATCCCGTTGAAGAACCCTATAATCTAGGGTATAATTCCCTTACTTAAGGGGGTATTTTGGGCTGTGCGGTTTCGGCTCTATTTTTATTACTATTTTCATTATCATTATCATTATCATTATCATTATCATTATTTATTATTCTTATTGTTGTTATTATTATTATTACTATTATGTTACTATTATTGCTATTATTACAAGTTTCGGCTCCGGGAGGCCGCCGAGGTCGCCCAGACTGCCAAGGCCCGCGAGGAGGCGCCGAACCGCGAGGAGACGAAGAGAGCGCCCCCTCTTTTTTTTTTGGGGGGGGTTCAGGAGTTTTTTGGAGGTTTGGGGAGGGTTTGGAGTTTTTTGAGGGGTTTTGGGGCTTTAGGGGTTTCAGGGGTTTTGAAGGTTGAGGGGCTGGGCGGGGCGAGGGGCAAAGCTATTGGCACGAACCGGAAAACCGCTAAACCCCGAAAGGCCGAACCCCTAAACCCCTAAATCCCTGAGGCTCAAAGCCCTAAACTTCGCCCTGCATGGACTCCAGGAGAAGGTTAAGGCTGCTGGTGCCGCGCCGGCGGCTGCCTCCGCATCCGCTACCCCGCAGGCGCCGACTTTCAAGGAAGCTTACCTGGAGGATCATGGGACTTAGTAAGTAAGGTTATAAGTACCCTAATTGGGGTTATAATTATAGTTACCTTATTTAGAACCCTAGTTACTAACTCCCATGATCCTCCAAGTAATGTAGGGGCCTTAATAATTAGAATAGGGCCATTTTACTATAGCTATAAAAAGGAACCCCCGAAACAGGATTGGTAATTATTTAGGCTTCTATATGAAACCTTTTTGGCGGTTCCAGTCTATCAAGGATCTTGGGATTCCGGGCATAAAGGGCTCCAAGCATAGACGTCCTAGTAACCCAAGATAGTCATATAAGCCCTGACAGCAAGATCCTTGAGCTAGATTAAGGGCTGCAAGCATAGAGGTCCTAGTCACCCAAGATAGTCAACATAAGCGCAAATTAAACAGCAAGATCCTTGAGATAGAATGGAACCCCAAAACTCTCTTCTTCAACAACCACGCCCAAACAAGTTTTCAATCTTCTTAGGATAGACCTCATATGTAAGGCCAAAAAGTTTCAAGTTCTC